TAAATTTGAAGAATGATCAAAATAATATCGAAGCCTCCAGTTAGAGAGAAATAGGAGGAGAAAGGCTTTACTTTGCTGTCTTTGCAATCCACAAGACCTAATTTACGATTTATGGCTCCCTACTATGTAATTTCTCTGTTTAGTTTTGCTTCCAGGATAGAAGGGAAATTTTCCTATGTCTTCTATTCATGTGGCAGCCATCTTAGGTGGAGGCCAGAAGAATATGTTTAGAACAAGGGACATGCTGGTTTGCTTCTCTCCACACTCTGCTTACTAAGAACATCCTCAAAAGTTGGAGGGCATTCTCAGAATTAGAGGACAGGATGATCAAAGAGCAATGGATGAGATAAGCTGCTGAAGCAGCCAGAATGAAAGAAGATATATTGACTGTCTTGAAATAATAACACAATCGTTATGAATGGCTCCACAAGGTCAGATTAGGAATTTGTAGGGGTCAAAGACAGAAGCCACAAGAAACATCCAGTTCCAGTTACAGCAATGGGAGTGTTATCTAAGTGTTATCTAAAGAATGGGCTGCCTCAGGGAAGACATAATGTCCTGCAGAAACTCCAAGAATGTCCAGTCACTTAGGGTATATGTCCAAAGGTTATAAGCAGTAGAGGGGACATAGGACGAGAAGATTCTTGGTGATTCTAAGAGGCCATATTTCCTCAACCTGGTTAAAACAAGGTTTAAAAATTCCTAATCTTTAGAGTCTGATGTGACTTTAAATTAATTAGTTTAAATGAAGGATTTTGTCAAAGATTACTAATTCATGCAAAAGAATAAGAAATAATGAGTGCTTTTAAAAACCAAATCACTCCAATATTTTAAACATTAACACCAAACTGTCATACATATATGTGTGAAATATGATTTGGGGCTGTTCTTGTTTTAACAATCACACATACACATTTCCGGGCTATTCTAAAATGTCTTATTTTAGTGACATTTCATTTAAAGATACTATAAGGAGAAAAAAAAAACCAGACACTTCAACAAAAGTAATCTATCTGTGCATTGCTATTCACCAAAGACATTGAATTATAGATCTGTAGAGGAAAGGGGCATAAATAAATAAACACCTAACATTCCAAGTCAAATATCAGACTCTCTCTTAAGGTTAACACAATTCAGAGGTTGCCTTGGTGGCTCCAGCCAAGGGTTGCTCAACAGAACCACTTCTGGCTCTTTGGTACCCTGGCCCCATTCTAGACCTGTCGTAGCTTCTGGCAATTAATGAAGTTGAGCATTTCTTTAAATGTTTACTGGCCATCTTCTTTGAATTGCCAATCTCTATCATTTTCCACTTTTCTTTTTTATTCTTTTTGATTTATAGGATCTCTTGGCTTATTAGAGATCTGAAATAATTCTGTTATATGTGTTACAAATATTTTCCTCTTAATTCTTTCATTTACTTTTTGTTGTGTTTTGGATAAATATTAAGACTAAAATCACCAAACCTGATTGTCATTTTATAAATTCAGCCTGCTCTTCAGACACCTGATGAGAATATTTGTTATAGTCAGCAAAGCTGAGGTTTCAACTAAATGAAAATGATAGAAATATCCATCTAAAGTATTTTAACATACCAATGAAGTTTTTTTCAGTTAAAACTTATTCATCATTAGTACTTTATAAAATACTAAAAAGTTCTCAATGCTTACTTTAAAATTAAGACTTTAGATACATATTCCTGTTTTTAGCACACTGTGTACATATTTTATCCTTTCTTCAGTTGAGATTGGAAAAACAAAATGCCATAAATGTCTGCCATCTCTATTGGCTTTGTAACTAGCTTAAAATGAAAATATAAATCATCATTCTCTTTTCCAGAATTCTAAGATTGTTTGATTCAGCTTCATTGATCCTAATCTAGCTAGACAACTCTCCTCTGATTTTTCCCTTTGTGTTGCCAATGATGGGGGATGGGGGGAAAGGGGTCCTAGTGTCAAAGTGGATCAGAGGGTAATAGTTTTCACTTAGTGACATATCACTTTTCTCTTAGTCTCCTTTTAAATTGGTGTGATTGTTTTCTGATCTTTTCTATTTCTCTCTTGCAAGTAGCTAATTATTTCTGTAATGACCTATAAAATGAGTTCAATTTATTTTTAAAAAAATATATTGAGTTCTTCCTATATGTAAGCAACTGGGGACATAAGAGATAAGGCATATCTTTGCCCCTAAGTAGCTCAGAGAGCAGGCAAGGGTTACAGCTGCCATGGTAGGTGGAATGATGGCCTCCAAAATGCACACTCTCAATTCCTGGAACCTGATGAGTATGTTACTTTACATGGCAAAAGGGCCTTTGTAGAAGTGATTAAGGTAAAGGAACTTGAGGCAGGAAGATTACCTTGGATTATTCAGGTGGGCCCAATCTAATCACACGAGCCCTTAAAAGCAGAGGACCTTACCCTATGTAGTCAGAGAACCAGAAGGATGGTAACACAAAAAGAACCCAACTTGCTGTTGCTGGCTTTAAAAACACAGGAAGGGTCTATGAGCCAAGGCATATGGGTGGCCTTTAGATGCTAGAAAAGTCAAGGAAACTAATTCTCCCCCAGACCCTACAGAAGAAACACAGTCCTAAAGCCACCTTGATTTTAGCCCAGTGAGACTGGCATCAGACTTCTGACCTACAAAACTAGAAGACATTATTTTTGTGGTTTAAGCCACCAAATCTGTGGTAATTTGTTACAGTGGCAAAAGGACATTAATGCAGATGTGCCCCCATGAAAAGCAAAGCGGCTCCACCCATGGTCACTGTGCAAAATGGAGGCTTCAGCCTGGTGCCTTGTGTCTGAGATGCTGGGAGTGAGTGGCCCCCATGATAGGGATGAGAACAACCACAAAGGAAGAGGATTTCAAGTTGTCCTTGAAGTATTAGGACTTGGTTAGTCACAGAGGGAGGAAAAGGACATTTCAGACAAAGAGATGAACACTCAAGTCAACATTACAACATGTTTGCACCTCAATTTCCTATGTGGGCAAAGTTGTAAAAATCTTGAAAAAGGAAAATAAGCACTTCTGTCAGAAGAGCATGCTAGATACTCTAAGGGTCCTTCTTTCCAACAACAATATGGAGACTAATACAGATTTTTTTAATGTGTTGCTCGGCTCCTTGGAAATAAGAAAATACCCAAAGCCCTTAATCCCACAATAAAAAAAGAAAATATGGTAAAGGTTATTTATGTAACTCATACCCACCTTCATGGCAAGGACAACTAAAAATGATAAAGCAAATTTTTTTTAAAAAATCACCTAGAAATTGCCAAGGAGTTACCAGACATGAAACAGGATCTAGAGAAGTGGGGCCAACACTCAGAGTCATTTTTGTCCTGGGGAAGGTTCCCACTCAAGAAAGACAGCGAGAGGCTGAGCAGCATAAAAAAGAACAAAATTGCCAGCCACAAAAGGAAAAAATGAATTAACTGCACTACAGTAAAATTGAGTTCATTAAAACAAAAGTAAAAAGGCAAGTGACAAAGATATTAGCAACACAAATAGCGAGCAAAGAATTAGATTTCAGAATATATAAGAACTCCAAGAATGCAATAAGGAAAAGACAAACAATCCAATAAAAAAATCTATCTCAGTGATAAGCAGGCATTTCACGATAGCATCAGTGCAGATGGCAAATGAACATAGTAAGATGCCACCAGGGGAAAGAAGATTAAAACAAGATACCATTTAACCCCTGTATTAGCAAAATTTAGAAGTCTGATAACACTGAGTGTTGAGAATATCAAGCAATGGGAACTCATACACAACTGGTTGGAATTTATAATAAATTGGTTCAAACACCTCAGGACAAAAATTAGTAGGGTATACTAGTTTTGAATGTTTATATACCCTGCAACTCAATTATTCCACTTGTGGATATACACCCTAGAAAGACTCTGGTGTGTGTGTGTACCCAGAAACATGAATAAAAGCATTCATAACAGCACTGGTAGAATCGTGAAAAAAATGAAATAGAAACAACTGAATTCATCATAGACAAGGCAATTGTTAAATATATTGTGGTAAATTCACACAAACATATCACTGTGAAAGTAAATGAACATGCATGAATTATAATAATCTAGCAAGTTGCAGAAAGTTACATATTATGACATAACTTTTCTAAAGCTCAAAAATAACCTAAATAATAAATTATTTAGGAATATATTTATATATAGTAAAACATATGAGTTAATTATAATGTTGAAATGAATGGAAACAGCAAGTTGCAGAAGACTAGCATATAATACCATTTTTATAAAGCTCTAAAATAAGACTGAATATGTATTGTTTAGAGACACAAAAAATACATAGTTTTACATGTAAAATTACATATAAAAACCAACAGCAAATTGACATGGTAAACACAAGTTCAAGATGGTTTGTCCTGGCATGGAACAGGAAGCTGGGATGGCGAAGGGACTCAACACAGGAAACATCAATAGAAGGGGTGATATTTGGTTCATTCTCTAGGTGATGTGTTCATTGGTGTTTGTCTTACTGTGTTGTTTTTTTTATCTTACAAGTATGTCGCATACATACTTTTGTAGTACCAAATATTAAATAATAAAATTTTAATGAAACCACAAAAACTTATTATATTATTTCTGCTGAGATGGCTATTTTTCCATCTCCTTCCTTGAGTGCTCCTTTTTGCACTCTTCAACTTGAATGTGGGTCACAGAGCTGACAGGAGGAGGAAGCATGCTGTCAGATGAAATACACAAATGCTGCCTGAGCTCAGCTCAGAACTAATGGTCTTCCTAGACTACATGTGGCAAGATTATTACAGAATGACAGAACCAATTCCCCATTACTCTTCATTACTCATATTTCAATTTGGTGGCTCATCTTCCAGAGCAAGTCCTATCTTTAGGATATCCTGCTCATGAGTGAACGTGGGCTTCAAGAGTTTCTGGGCTATCAAGTGCCTCCTCCATTCCACCCCCTAAAGTTAAAAGTCCCGTTTACATATTTTAAAAGAAGAATAAAAAAAGATCCTTTTAAAACTATACATAGTTTAAACATACAATAAAGGCTTTGTTACCAAACATGTTGGAGAAATGGGGAGTGACAGTCGTAATACATTTGAATCAAATAATCTTCATTCGGATTGGTTTCTCCCTATTAACACTTTCAGGACAAGTGAAGCAGAAATATAACTAATCTAATCTACTAATGGATGAACATAGTCCCATCGCTTACAATTTCCAAAGCAAAGTTCTTCCCCACCACCTACCTTTTGCTGCTGGCAGGGACAGAAGGAAGTTGGGGGAATGATGGTGTATGTGGGGATGGGGGTTTAATCTGTCATAATACATAGAATGGGAAAAGATAGAGCCTGTGCCCTAAGGTTTTGGACAGCCCTGAGTCCAAATCCCCAGTTCTGGCACTTTTTTGTTGAGTGATTTGACAAGGTATTAAACTTCCCAGAGTCTCAGCTTCCTCATCGGTATAAGTGGTTAATAATGCTCACACCCTAGGGTTGTGATAAGAACTAGATTACATTTATAAACTGGAAATGCTCAGTATATATTCAAATATGGTGCTTTATTTGTACTGGGTGAGTATGTTGAAATTATAGAGGTTCTTTCTAGGTTTTTGAAAGAGATAAGTTAATTTACTTGCTCATCCTTGAATGCAGATTTCTTGACATTCCTTTTCACTGTTGAATCTATTTCCCGAGCCGTTGCAGCCACTGAACCAAAAGCGGGCACAAGAGTTGACCTGCTTGTCATAATACCATCGAACCACATATTCACCACAGTTTCCAGGCTTCAAGGCTTCCAAACATCTAGGATCTAGAGTGAGTAAAGGATAATGTGCTGTTATAGGTTTTTCTTATACCAAAGAGATGAAAAATAAAAACTTTACGAGACGATATAAACTATTTATTCTCCATGCCCACTAACAGTCCAACTAAGAAAGTATGGCTATGAGTCAGTGAAAAAGGGTTCCCTAACCCCCAAACTATTTCCCTCACCACCTGAAACTCTACCACTAGATATTCATTCTTTTGAAAACATAAAAGTTTTAATCTTCATGAAACCCTATCAAAAATGCATATTTTCCCAAAAGCCTAGTGAGACTTCATTGACCAATACTTTTGGGGAGTAGTTGACAGGACAAAAATAGGACTTCTTTCATTTACTTTGGATTTGATTTATAATCAAATTAATATTTGGAGTAAAAATGATTTCCACCTTCTGTACACATTCCCTCCCAGTCTGTTCATAGAACACACATCTATGATCACATAGAATTGTGCCTACTGAAAAAGGAAACCCTTTAAGCTACTAAGAAATAAAATGAATGGCTCTTTTTATATCACAGCTCTCTTAAAAAGAGCAGCTCCTGTAGGACACTAAACATGATGTGACCTTCTAATGTCAGTCTACAAACAAATTTCAGAACCTCATCCACTGAAAGAAAGCAAAGGAGAGCTGTAACAGTAAAGCCACATTGCACTAAATCAGCTTCCTTTAATTACACAGCTTCCCATTTGTTAAATCCACTTTTACCCGCTGGTACTCTGTAGTGCCTTGATTAGTATTTCCTACCAGAGGAAGTGATTCCAACGTGGGAGAAGCCAGAGGTAATTGCAAAAACCAAATAGGTTATCACTATCTGGGACTTGCAGTCTGTGAGGTGGTTTATATGTCATAAGCTTCATAACTCAATAGCAACACCAGCCCTCTCTCCATTTCCTTTAAACATTTCTCCAGATTTGGAGTATATCTCCATTCATTTTCTAAAACTTACCTCTAAATCTATCTCTTCTATGAAGACTCCTTAGACCAAACGGAAAGGAGAAGTAGATTTCTACTACCTCTCTTCATAAAAACATAACTAATGTATATCGTGTAATTTGATTTTGAGCCAATCTAAGCTTCACTGGGGCATGGATCTCATCTCCCTTGCATGTTCTGCAGAAAATATGTATACAATGAAGAATTTTCAGTAATATTAACTCTATAGAAAATATATTGATGAATCAGAATATAGAGTTTAGCTCTTTTTCCTATATAATCAAGAGGTCAAAATTTCAGATGCCTACACGTGTGAAGGGGAAGGGCGAGACAACAGGGAGCAGGAGGAACCATGGCAAACAGAGCATAATCCTCTCTAAGGGCGCTCAAATTAAGACAATAATAAATACTATAAGTGCTTTAAAACTTTTCATGGATCCAATTTATTCCACAGCTATCCAGATTTCAAATTCTATATATAATCTCTAGTGAAAAATATCTTTTGTCCTCCCTGTTCATAGTTGTAACATTCTCTCTGGATGAGGTTTTAGAGACCATCCTTCCTGTGTCTTCCTCACATTATAGATACAGCTGCTGGTTGGCAGATATGTCTTACCTTTGTACACCAAATTTTCTGGCTGTGAAATCGCAACAGGAGTTGGAGTTCTGGATTCCACACCCTCCGCTCTACCCTCTGGGGTGCTGAGCGCTGGCCCGTGGGGGGTGGCAGCCTCGGACGGGAGAGTGGCAGACAGGCCATCAGTCCAGGTAGGCTCTGGAGGCTCATTCTCTTCATCCTGCTCTCCAGGGACACTGGGCTACACAAAACATTCACATGTTTCATTTCTGATGATATCAAGTCACAAAAGCTAGTTTGCTTTTGGGAACATTTAAGGAAAAGCTCAGCAAGGCTATGTCTCCTCAACTCTCTGATAGTAACAATTTCAAATTAAAGTTCCAGAAATAATGCCCCTCCTCTGTGTCATGCATCCCTGAATATCTAAGCATAGATTTTCCCACCACTGTGTGGGTATACACACATACACACACACACACACAAACACACACGTTGTCTGTCTTCAGACACAGATGTTTTTGTGCTAGGCCTTCCAGAGAACGTATGAAAGATATGAGGTTGGGAGTTTATTCTTTTCTTAGTCAATTGCTATGAACAGGGAAAATAACCACTAATTTCTTTTACATTTTAATGGCCTTTTTCTCTCCATTTTCTAACATTAGAGAATTTAACAATATATTCCAAAATGGCTACTGTGAACTCAATCAATTTTGAGACTGGGAATTGGGGTGGCAGAGGACAACAACACAGCTGAAATGAAAACAATAGCAATCACTTTTCATCTCCTTTGACTGCTTCCACAAATACCAGCAGAAAGCACCTTTTGCCTGACCTCCCTACTATCCAGACCTCAGCTAATGCCAAATGCCACAGAGTACTTAACTTCTAAGTTCTGAGAAACGTTTGATACCTTAGGAACAAAAGCTTATGATTTCAAAAGCAAATTTTCTGGACTAAATCTCCCAAGTTTCATCTAAATTTATGATATGTAATGAAACAAAGAAGAAAGGCAGTTTGCTTTAAAAAAAAAAAAAAAAAAAGATTGTGTTGGTTATTCTTGACTATAATTGCCAGGACATACACAGATCTTTCATGGGAATAATTATGTTCTTTTTCCTTGTACCCCAGCTACGCAAAGTCGAGTCAATCATTCACCTCAGTCCTGGCACAGTATGGGTATTTATTCTCACAAGTCCCTCTCATTTGTTTGCTTTTTACTTATTTAAATAGGCAAATCTGTGAACTAGATAAAGTCGTTTCAATACTTTTTATCCAGGGTTCCTAGCCCACTGTGACCAGAGACAGCAATCACCGTGAGCTACTCCTTGCTGTCTGAGCTGTTTGACTGCTTTGGATTCTTTACACACACACACACACACACACACACACACACACACACACACACACACACACGAGGGAAGGGCTAGTTAATCCTATTACTCATGTATGTGTATGTTTGCAGTGATTAAAGTACTACCAGGTGATTCAGACCAAATAGTTCCACTAGAATTGGTCATCAGCTTTATAAAGGGCACTCAATTCAAATATAGAATTAACTTTTCACTCCCCCCCAAACACAAATTTGGGTCAAAATGGAGGTAAAACTATGGATCACATGAGGTTTCTCTTTCTTTCAGAATAATCCTACATGTACATATGGCAATTTGAACGTGAACTTTTGTTATAATCACAGAACTAGAGAATTTCAAGGCTGGAGGAAAACTTTCTCAGTCCCTCCTTTTCTACTGGGGGGAATACAAAACTCCAAATGATTAAGGGACTGTCTAAAAGTTACTGGTAAGCTAGTGGCAAAATCGATGAAAAACCCTCAGGGAAAAATACTGTTGTTTTTTGCTTGCACATATTTCATTTCAAACAAGAAATAAGTTAAAAGAAGCGTTTGAGAAGTAGTTTATGCAACATGAAAACCTACTGCCATTAGTCTACACTTCAGATATACTGTCTATAAGATGAGAATGCTCCTTTGAAGAAGTGGGCGGGCAGCATGGTTTTCTTAAAGGATTAACTCAGCCTTTAAATCTTTATCTTGTTCAAGTCCTGAGATCTCATAAGTTATTCTTCACCTCTTATAGGTTTGGGAATATATGTTTTCATGCTCAATCCCATAATCATTTGGAAATTTTGACTACTGTAACATTACACCACAGATTCCAGAACAAGCAAAATGAACTTTTTTTGATAAATGAAAATAATTTCATCAATCTGGCTAATAAGATTTCAGATTAAATAAATGTATAATTATTATGACTTGCAATTGTTATTAGGTCATTAAATATGAAGTGTCCAATTGCAAATCAAAAGTTTAGTTTATTATATCTCAAACAAGAACCAGTACAATTAAAGTATACACTTAAACTACTGACACAATTTTGCCATCTTTTCTTTTTTTCTTATTTTTTTTTATTTGTTAAGATGAAACATGCCTCAGATAATTTTGCCATCTTAACGGTAGCTTGTTTATGCCAGCACCAAAGAAACCTAGAGCAAGTGGTGATGAAATCATGAAAGGTATTTTCCACAGCTTGTTGAGAATCAAATATTTTTCTTTGCAAGAAGTGGTCCAAAGCCTGGAAGAAGTGGTAGTCAGTTGGTGCAAGGTCTGGTGAATATGGTGGATGACACAGAGTTTCCAAGTCCGGCTTCTGTAGTTTGAGCAACATTGTTTGTACAACATATGGTCAAGCATTGTTTCACAAGAGAATTGGCCTGTCTCTACATTGACCAATCTCAGCTACTTTATTGAAAGCATCCTCATCGTTTCATCCAATTGGTTGCAGTAGACATCCGCTGTAATGGATTGATCAGGTTTCATGAAGCTGTAGTGCATAATACCAGTGCCAGACCACCAAACAGACCCCATCAGCCTTTTTTGATGAATATTTAATTTTGGACCATGCTTTGACACTTCATCTTTATCCAGCCATTGTGCCAAATGCTTACGATTATCAAAAATAATCCATTTTTCATCACATGTAACAATACAGTGTAGAAATGGTTCACCTCTATGTTGTGACAGCAAAGAAAGGCAAGCTTCAAGATGATTTCTCTGCTCATACTTATTTCATTCACGCAGTACCCACCTATCCAGCTTCTTTACCTTGCCAATTTGTTTTAAATGGTCCAATATTGTTGGAACAGTAACATCAGCCCTTGCTGCTAATTCACACATAGATTGAGATGGATTCGCTTCCACTACAGCTTTCAGCTTATCATTATCCACCTTGGTCTCAGGTCACCCATGTGGCTCATTTTCAAGATTAAAATCACCAGAATGGAACTTCTCAAACCATTGATATATTGTGAATTCATTAGCCACATCCTTCTCAAATACCTCGTTGATATTTCAAGCTGTCTGCGCAGCAGTGGTTCCATGATGGAACTCATAATCAAAAATAGCATGAAGTCTTTGACTTATCCATGGTTTCACAAAATTGTTCTTAAAAAAATTTTGAGAGATAATCACAGGACAAACTATGCATTTGAAAGAATGAGGATGTACCTTCACAATAAAAATAAAAGAAGTGTCAAAGTGAAATGTCAGAGATAATCAATGTCAAACTTAGTACTTAAGGAAATCAGACATTTCATATTTAAAAACCTAATATAATTTTCTTCCTTATTACAAAAGTGAACATGTTGATTGAAGAGAATTTTAGAAAATACAGATATCAAAAAGAAGAAAATAGAAATCAAAAGTAATTCCACCTCCCAGAGATAATCATTGTTGATATTCAGGTGCTTTTCCTCAGTCTTTTCTCTATGTGCATATACCTTTTTTTTTTTTTACACAAAAAATATTATGTTTGGTTTTCTATGCTGTATGCTATTTATTTTTTATTTACTATACTATGATCATTTCATACATTTTACTGTGACTCTATAACACTATTTTAAATATAGAATACACCTAATACAATGGTCTTTTTGAATATGTATTTTTTTCCCTGTTTCCCTTTTTTCCCTGTTATAAATCTCACGGTTAATCGCTGGGTCAAAGAACACATAAATTAGGTTTTTTAGGCTTTTAAGAACACATAATAAGGCTTTTGAGAAAAAGTCCTCTCCAAAAAATTTTTATAAGTTTGCATACTCCCTAGGAGTGTCTTTTCCTAAACGATCACATTCACTAGATATGACAACTGGAGAAAGAGATGAGCAGCAGTTTGATGCGTGAAACATTGATCCACATGCTGACCCACATAGCCCTGCCACAGTCTGTCACCTCCCCACATTTATAAACTCAACTTCTGATACTCCCAGAATATCTGGCTACAACCTTTCATTCCTTCTTCCTCTTCCTTCGGCCTCAGGCTCTCAATACCGGCCCTCCCACCACAGCCAAGGAAAAGCTGGTCTCCTGCAAAACCTTCTCCAACAACCCAGTCAGTACCTTCTGACCCTTCCTCACTTGGCTCCGATTGTATAGAATGTAACCCATAGTCCTATCCTGTTGAACAGTAGCAGAATATGCCACCCCAAAATATGCCACGCTGGCATATGGGTTATTTTGAGCTGAAGACAATAAAGCAGCAGGTACAAGTTCTCTGCCCTCCCTCATTTGCCTAAGAGCAAGACATAAATTTGTAAAGCTGTCCCCCCTCCCTTCTCTGCCAGAACGACTGAGTTAATTACTGGAGACAACTCTATACCCTTAGTCCACTCTACATAACAAATCAGTAACTCACTCTCATCTTATATTAATTCCCCCTATATTTACCTTCCCATGATTTGCCACCTTAGAAGCTCAAAGTGCATTTCCTTTGTCTTGTCACTCTTCTAAAATTTATTGTTCTTTTGTTAAGATGCTATATAAGCTCCAAGTTCTAGCCCCCCTTTTAAGTAACTCATCACTGAGTAATCCTCTATGTTTGCACACTACACACATTAAAAACTTCCCAGTGAGCTTGGCCTTTATCAAAAAATCCCAAAGCAACAAATGCTGGCGAGGATGTGGAGAGACAGGAACACTCTTACACTGCTGGTGGGACTGCAAATTAGTGCAACCTCTGTGGAAAGAATTTGGAGATACCTCAGAGATCTAAAAATAGAAATACCATTTGATCCAGCAATAGCACTATTAGGCATCTACCCAAAGGAACAAGACATTCTATAATAAAGACATCTGCACCTGAATGTTTATGGCAGCACAAGGCACTATTGCAAGGATATGGAAACAACCCAAGGGCCCATCAAGTCATGAGTGGATTAATAAAATATGGT